TATGTGTTTAGTTTCGAGGCGCGATTAACGTATCTACACTTTTCAAATATCATTTCTTTTAAAAGTTAGTTGCATTGTTTATGTAAGGTGTAAACAATTAAAGTCTTGTCTTCTTCACAAAACGAAAATACTGAACAATGACAATGTAGAAATATAAGTGTAATATTACTACGGCATCATCACAAAATATTGTATATAACTGATAATTTTACCATATCACCCTCGTTACACCAATCGATTAACAATATGAAACAATAGAAAAAACAACGAAGGTTACGTAACGAAAATGTGTACATATTTTTTTAATGAATAGTCTTAAATATATTAAAAGCGTTCTAAATGCGATATGGTTGTATTCAATTTTTAACATAAAAATTAGAGCACCAATAAAAAACTAGAGTTAATATAATTTCTTGTTCAATGCTGAAGAAAAAGCTACAATCTTCTGTATGATCTTGGAATGGTATTAAAATATACTTACATTGATTCCTAGTAAAGATTCGAAAAATATACATATATATTTGTTTCTGTTTTTATATACAAAGCACATAATAGTAAATATCTTTTAAATTTTGGTAGACAATTACAGCCTTACTCATAAAAATCTGCAGCACTTTAAGAAACGCGTAAAGTTGTTCTTTCCTTCTGTTCACTAGATGACAACAGTGAGTAAGTAAGCTATAATCAAGGGTTATATAAGTAAGGCCGTTTATATAGAATAGAAAAACGCCATTTAAATGTTAAAATACACTTCCTACTGTATTATTAAAAGTTTATGTAAGTTAATTTTTTTTTAAATTCTTACAATAAAACTCGAAAATAATTAATTATTGTCGAATTTTACGTAAACAATCTATTGAAAAAAAAAACCTAACTAATCACAAATTGCAATTTTTTTATCTATATATAATATCTCCCCCTAGCTTTTGATATAAAAAAATATTTTCAGTAACCAGGCCCATAATAGCTTAGAGGTGTAGTAAATAACTATTGAATTTGGCAACTGACACTTAAGTTTGTAGATTTTCTTCCATAAAGTACTCTAGAAAATATAGAACTTTTTTTTAGAAATAAAAAATAAAACCAACTTGTTGCTTTTACTACAGGTCTTTGATCAAATACTAAAGACTAGTAAGCAAAGTCCTATGTTTGATGACAGAATTAGCTTAAGTAGTGCACCTTTTCCCGCAATAACGTTAGTGGAATCTGGTTTTCCTGAAAATGAAGAATTGATACCTTAGTGGAATGGATTTACATTTATACACAATTATCTACATCCTTAGGATATTGCTAGAAAATATAGATTCATTTTCTGCATGGGACTCCGTCTGGGGAGGTATCACCCTCTTATCTATTCCTGCAACCAAACAGCTGTGCTTTCAATGCTATATATGGTATAGAGCCATATATACATATAATTGCAGGCTAGGAGGCATTCTCTGTTGGTCCTCCGAGATGACGACACACCTGCAGCCTTCTTTTGAAGGCTGCAGGTGTCCATGGACTACAGTAGTCGCTTACCAATAAGTGCACTATTAGTTTGTTTGTCTTTTCAGTTTTATAAAAAAAATATCATAAAAAACTGGCACATAACTCTAAATCGCATAAAATACCAGAGTGCAATAACCAGCTTCAGCAGTGTCCAATAATATTTGAAGATCATGAAGCAGACAAACGCAGCCCCAGTATGGACTGGAACACTTCACATGACCTTGGAATATCATTAAAATGTAATACTTTATATATTTTTAGTTAAGTTTATAATATTTTCCTTCACAACAAAGCACATGTTGAATCGACTTACAACTGCCAATAACAATTTCCGTGGTACCGACGGCATTGAACTTCGGTTACTCGCGTACTAAGACAAACGCAAAGCACCTGTGCCAATCTCTGCTCTGCTGGCTTTGGCTCTTAAGATATCAATATAGTACAGTGCGCTGCCGTCCTATCGGACTTGAGAGTGGATTGAGTACACCTGTGGTTGCGTACTATAATCGTGTTCTGTGCTGAAAGCTAGTCTCCGTTGAAACTGGCCGCCAAGGTTCAAATTATGTTGGAGGCCATTATTGATTATAGTACCAAATATTGTATTGTTACACATAATATTGCTATAACTTCACACATTAGCTTGAACCAGAGGTCCAGTAGCCATAGAATTAATTTGCGGAAATTCATTATGTATAATAAAACTTTAAAATTTTACCAAGAACGCGTACAAAAAAATGGTATTTATATGTTACTGCAAAAGCTTGAACTACGGTAAATCCTAAGATTTTCCAGTAAAAGCTAGGATTTACCAGTCTTAATGGTAAAAGTCCCAACTGTTCTCTGGTAATAGTTAATTTCGGACTTTTACTACCATAAACTTAGTAAATCTTAGGTTTCACCTCAAAGACATGTAAAATGTTGAAAAATAGTCATGTCTAAAAGTTTTTGGCGCATTACCGTGCTCGCGGACAGTGTACAGTCATCTCTCTCCGCTCGACACAGTTGGTCGATTAGTACGTACGTTTTTGTTATCTAGAAGTATTTATGAGACAAAATGAGTGTGATACAAATATTTTATGGAATACTGGACCAACCCGTGAATCTAACGGTAAAAGCCCGCAAAATAGTCTAATTTTATACCAAACCTTACATTTACCAGCTCATGTTGGTAAATCATCAAAATAAAGATTTAAAAGAAAATTCTAAGATTTACGCAAATACGGGCTTTTACAGTAACATATATACGAGTATTACCTGTGTGGGTGGGAGGTTGTAGAAATTAGACTGGTATTGGTTGATGAGAACTGACTGGAGACTGGACTGGTTTGGTGTGGTTGGTAGCAGTGACAGTGCAAGCAATTGTGGGAACAAAAGGATGATTACCATGATTACTATTTTTCATATTAGAGACAACATCCATAGAAGGATTATGCACTTTATACAGCTATAAAAGTTTTGCAGCAATTTGAACATTGTAAACTTTTTTTTACTAAGCGTTTACAAAAACATTTCTCAATTTTTTTTAATGAAAATAAAACAGTATGAAGTAAGAAAAAATATTTTTTTACATATTTTGGTATAATAAATAATAGTTTAAGTAAAAACTAAAAACACACGCTTTTGTATATAACCGAACTAAAAAGTAGAAAATAATTTTCAATAAGTTTAAAATAACAAAATAGTGATTAATATAAAAAAAAAACCATTTTATTGTAAAAAGCGTTGGGTGGCCTTTTAGTATTTTTTAAAATGCCAAAAATACAATATTTTCAATCAAAATGAAAAGGAATAGACCCATAGCAAATCAAATCATGTTCCATAAATAATAAAAACTACACAACAAAAAAAAACTTAATAAATGTACCAGCAAACCTAAGCAGACCAGTCTCCACAAGCAGCATCTGTGTCCATACAATTGGTTATCGCTCATAAGTCTACCATTATACGCACTATGAACGTATTGAGCAAAAAAAATATATGCAGAAACAATATGGCTGATCTATTTCAATAAAATCCTTTCTTGCTCTTTTAGAGGTTATATAATTTTTAGCAATACGAATGAAAATGAAAAGGAAGAGGGATCTGCTTTTTTTTTCAATTTATTAAACTTCGGACCACAAACAAGTTCACAATTATCAACTTATCTAATGTAATTACTGCACATTTTATTTTATTTTTTTATAGGAAAAGGGTGATAAACGAGCACACAGTCCACCTGATGGTAAGTGGTTCCTTTGGCCCATAGACATCTACATCGATCCTCTATTACAGGTATTCTGTGAGGTCTTGGTACCACCCCGGTTCAAGGCGGCCCATCCGTGCGACAGCAAAAGCTGCCGCGTGGCTCTACCACTGTTAAAATTTTATTATATATATATATATATATATATATATATATATTTATTATGAACTCAGCAACGCTGGTCACTTACTTAAGTATTACAGTTTTTAAAGATAGATGAAGCTTGTTACAAAGTATACCTAGACATTGACAATATCTTGTTATTTTTAATTAAGAATTAAAGTTTACACACAGTATCGAACAAACATTGTAGGGTTATGGTACGATATATGACACCACTGCTCATTAGTTCTTTTTTTAAATAGTCGTGTCATATATTCCACTATCTACTCAATGACTACTTGCTTAAGTTTTTCAGTCAATCTTCTTATAATTATCACGTCCTGTGAGATTGATATTGATATCATTAAAATTCTCATTGTACGAGTGCATCATCACATAATAAAGAGGACCTTCATCCCACGTTTGTTCGGCATAAATTGGTAGAAAAAAGTTTATGGAAATGGGCCACGCGCTGATGTGCCCTGGTAGATACCCTATAATTTATATTCTCAGTTATATCCATACAGTCTTATCTATTGTGATACAGGTCATAAAACAACATTGCCTCAAGAATTATACACCTTGATTTAAGAGTGATAAGATTATATTTCGCCATGAGTTCATTATACGGTATTCTGGCATATTTATAATGGATACATCTAAGAAATTTCTTCTGCACAATTTCTAGTTTATCAATATATTTTTTATATAGAGGATTCCAAATAGTCACTGCATACTCTAGATGACATCTTATTAAGGATCTATAAAGGTGTAAGTAAGTTAAGGGATTTTTAAACATATTAGAAGATCGGATAACAAAACCATAGATCTTATAAGCTTTGTTAATAATATTTTCAATATGAATATCTAGATGTAATTTAGTGTCTAAAGTTACTCCAAGATCCCTGATTGCTACTTCTTGAGATAGGGGGGTACCACATAAATGATAAATGAAAGAGCTGTTTTTTTTTCTTTTTGTAAAAGTTATAGATTTACATTTATTAGGACTGAGTTCTAACTTATTTCCGTTACAGTACGATGTGACTTATGCGTGACTTTTCTATGCTTAACTACCTTTTGGCTATAGATATAACTGTAGAGTTAAGAATTATTATACCTTACCTTTCCACAGGTCGTCCTGTTCCTCGCAATATATTTTACGTCATCAGTGTGATTGGATCTTGTATCTATACACTAGCACACTGGCCACGCCTACCAGCAGACTTAACAGTAGCGAACCCCATACGAACATCTGCAAATCGATAAAAAAAATATATTTATTATATATGTAATTTCATGTGACTATTTAAAAAGGGCTTGTGTAAAATATCTTTTAATTACTTCTTTTTTTCTACACAGAACTGTTGTTGAGCAAAATTATCTAAAAAGATCCATATGGCTTAGGGGCTTAAGCTTTTACCGTTAATTTCACAATATCGCGAGCAACCTAGGTTCGTTTACCATATGCTCAGCAGTGAAGGACGATGTTTTGCTTCGTATGTGACGTACTAAACTGCATGTATGAGGAAGAAAATACTTGGAAGACATATGAAGTCACTCAACAGGCACTGGTGAGCAGCGCGGCGGACTATTGCTACATCATCATCATCATCATAATCATTACAGCTCATTGCAAGTCCACTGCAGAACATAGGCCTTTCCCAAGGACTCACGTCAACTTTCTGCATCTCTTATCAGGTTCTCACTCCTCTAGCAGAGGGCCACCCTACACTTCGCTTACCAGTGAGGCTGCCACTTGAAAACCTCCCTCCAGTTGATTGTCCGAGCTATATGGCCAGCCCACAGCACTTATGTGGGCCGTACCGGCAGTAACATGTTCAAATGATTATACGTGTATACGTTTTCATACATGGTAGAGTCATGCTGCAGATATATTAACCGGTTCAGTGCGGATGGCACGCCAGGCCTGCCATCGATTACTTTTGTGTGTGGCGTATGACACACGAGTCGTCTTTTTAAAAATCGTTATAACTCGCTCAAATTGCGTTTTTGGAAAATTTATCCAGAACAAAATATTCATTATTTTGCAAGTAGTTCATGCCTGCGGTTTCGTTTCTGGATATTTTGAAAATTTGAAATTTTTAGTGGTTGGCCTTTATTTAACTTGGACATGGTACTCTTTTTACTTTGTGGGTCAATCATGTTGTGGAAAAATAGTCTAATAAGTAACAAATAATATCACTCATTGCGATCGCTCACAAACTCAACTTGTAAATAAATTTCTGGAAAACAAGTCTCCTGTTAAAAAAAAAAGCAATGCGTTTGTCTTATTGTTTAATTTTGCTTAAAATGGTTGAACTGCTGTTTTATTACTATCATATGGCCGAATAGACCTACGAAGTACCATGTGCTCTTGTGATATGGTATAAGTTTTATTTTTGCTTGAAACGGTTTGAAACCGTTCATGCATAAAAAAAGTTCGCTAATAAATAGTCTTTTGTCAATCCGCCGGCGATTAGCAGCACCGGCGTTTGTTTCCTTTTGAAAACACTTGTTTTGCTATTCTTACTAATTAGACGTTTTCAAATCGACTTTACTTTTACTATGCAAATGTAAAAGTAAAGTCGATTTGAAAACGTCTAATTAGTATTACATTAAATAATATTTAACATTTGTAAATATTAATGAATTATAAACCTTATTTTTTCCAAATTAAGGTTCTTGATTGTTTGATATTTACAAATATTATTATTAAGTGAAAATTTAATTTAATAAAAACCTAGGTTTTCCAGGGTGATTTAGCTGTACCTACTTATATAAATTATTCTTTTATAAAACAAAAAATAGTACAAAATGTTTGTAATCTCTGCATAAAAAAGTCACTTGCTCTCAATTTCAAAGAAAACACGTAGTTACCCACTAAAAACAAGTATCCTTCTGTTTGTAACATTGGCGCTTGACACGCCAGACGTGTCATGCAATATTTGTTCGATTGTTGTGAACGTTGATTTGTTGTTAAGTTCTCGAAAATTGGTGCCGCAACGAATCGGTTAATAATATAGTTGCAGCACGAATGAGTTGGATCGACCAGTGCCCCAAAATATTCTCTTAAGGTAAAGTCAGATATTATTAAAAATATGTGATTAAAATTTGAGATTGCCAAAAGTATATCTTTTGGGAATAAAAAAAATATTTTGGGAGGTCTGGTAATAGTTTATAACCGACAAAAAGGTCTGGGATTATTTTTTTGGAATTATATAAAAACTAAATTAAAAGGTAAAAAAGAAATCAAGTTGCAAAAAAAAATATTTTTTTGGAATTTTTTTTTGCATATGTTATATGCTGCGCAGTAACGAAATAACCGCAAACGCTCTGCCAGACTCGCGGGACTGGATTCGCCAATTGACGAAATTATATTTTTTCACAATTTCTGCCACCTCATGCGGTACCTTGAGGATCACCAGCTGATTAGTGACCGCCAGTACGGTTTTCGTCGAGGTCGATCAGCTGGTGATCTTCTGGTCTACTTAACTCATAGATGGGCGTTGGCAGTAGAGTCCAAGGGGGAGGCATTGGCCGTTAGTTTGGACATTGCGAAGGCCTTCGATCGGGTTTGGCACAAAGCGCTTCTTTCGAAGCTCCCTTCCTATGGGCTTCCCGAGAAATTATGCAATTGGATCACCAGCTTTCTTGCAGATCGGAGCATCAAGGTCGTTGTAGACGGTGCATGCTCCGACTACAAGCCTATTAACGCTGGTGTTCCACAAGGCTGCGTGCTATCACCAACGCTGTTTCTTCTGCATATCAATGATATGTTGCAAGCCGGTAGCATTCATTGCTATGCGGATGACAGCACTGGTGATGCTCTCTACACCGGCCGTGCCAATATTTCTCGGGAAAACGTCACCGAGTACCGGAACAAACTTGTGTCTGAAGTCGAGTCTTTGCTGGACAAAGTCTCGGATTGGGGGCGACTAAATCTAGTCCAGTTTAATCCTCAGAAGATACAAGTTTGCGCGTTTACCGCTAAAAAGAACCCCTTTGTCGTATCTCCTCAGTTTCAAGGTACTCCCCTAGTTGCCTCAGCCAGTATCGGAATCCTTGGCGTCGACATATCGAGTAGCGTGCAGTTTCGTGGTCACTTGGAAGAAAAGGCCAAATTGGCCTCTAAAAAGCTTGGCGTGCTCAGCAGAGAGGGACAGTATTTCATGCCGGCTCAACGCCTGCAACTTTACAAGGCGCAGGTTCGGCCTCACATGGAATACTGTTCCCATCTCTGGGCTGGGGCTCCCCAGTGCCAGCTTCTTCCACTTGACCGCATCCAGCGCAGAGCGGCTCGAATCGTCGACGACCGGGTCCTTTCCGATCGGCTCGACTCATTGGCACTGCGAAGAGATGTTGCATCTCTTAGCATTTTCTTTCGCATTTACCATGGGGAGTGCTCTGAGGAATTGTTCGGATTAATTCCAGCCGCCAAATTTCACGAACGCACATCGCGGCAGAACCATCCACACCATCTGGATGATTGGCGGTCCACCACTGTGCGATTTAGAAGATGTTTTCTTCCTCGCACAACTTCCTTGTGGAATAGTTTACCACCAGCGATTTTTCCGGACCGATACGACTTAGGGACCTTCAAGAAAAGAGCCTACTCCTTTTTAAAAGGCCGGCAACGCATCTGCAATTCCCCTGGTGTTGCGGTTGTTCATGGGCGGCGGTAGTCACTTACCATCAGGTGAGCCGCATGCTCGTTTGCCCCCTCTCCTATAAAAAAAAAAATTTCAACTTGCCAAAACGACCTTCCCAAAATTCGTCGCCAGCTCTCAGACTACATAGAATACCACATAGGGGGGATAGCTATATTTGCTATAGTTGCCATGCTTGTCAGGCGGGTTGTCAACTGCAGTCTTTTTATTTTTTTGAGTTGTTATCAGGAGGATGCTACTGCCCATCTCCTGTTGGAGTTTCATTTTCCATTGTCACCTTTTACGACACCCACAGGATATGGTGGATTTTTAAATATGCACATAATATTAGCTTGAAAAAGGGAACGGGTTTGCAATAGTTTTATAAAGATTAAATTTACATTCATTCATTACCAACCATGTCAATATTATTAAGTTACTCTCACTTTAGCTCTAGAAGGTTTTTTATCTGGCGATGACTCTGGTTTAGGCTGGTTGACAGCACCCAGCATGCGCTTTGCGAGACGTCTCTCAACAGATCTGTCCCTGGTGGCCTTCAGTTCACAACGCTGAAGCTCCTTACGAGCCCCGGAGTCCTCAGGCGCGGCAGCAGCTGCTGCTCTGGCTGCTTCCAAAGCCTCTGAGTTTCGACCCATCGCCGATAAAATTCGAGACTTACGATAGAGTGCCTTTGCGTTCTTAGGTTGACAGGTCAGAACTCTTGTCACAGCCTGTAAAGCATTTTTAAGTAAAGTAAATATTAAGAAATAGGAGTTACCATACAAAGAACTTAAAACATAGATGTCATCATCATTTCTATGCTATAAAGCCACAGAGCAGTTATATTATAGTTGTAGAGAACTGGAGACCCTTTTTACTGGAAACGAGGCATTCCACCCTCAGGTCCTGAGTCCTAGTCCTCAGGGGTGATAACACATCAGCATATTGATTCTTAACTGAGGATAGATAAAGATGTCTATGAGCCACAGCATCCACTCAACATCAAGTGGACTGTGTGCTCGTTTATCCCTGATTCAAAAAAAAATTAAGATCAGAAAATATATGTGGTCAGATATGGTTTTTTTCTCTAAAGTTTACATAAATAGCTGCATGAAGCGAAACTAAACTAAAAAAAAAACATTTATTAGAATATAAATATGCACAACAAAATTTTTTCTAAAAAACTTTTTAGAGCACCATACTGACCCACATATCCCTAAAAAAATGCTGAGCACTCGTTTATTACTTGGTACTTGGTTTATTCTACAGTATTTCAAGTAGTTAGGTAGGTAGTACTCTCACTTCGGTCACCCAGAGGTGTGGTATGAAAGTACCTACGGATTTCCACATAGACACCTACTTGTATCTAATCACAATTAAAATCAATTTGTCATTGTGTTGCCACACCTGAGGTGTAAAATGGAATGGCTTGTTTCCAGGTATCAGCATCAGGGTGTTATACCACACCAATCGATCGACCCATCTATCGACCGTCGATCGATGATTGAACGTTTTATCGTCCACTATCAATCGATCGATCGATTGGCGTGGTAACACCCTTAATATGCATATTCTGCATGATTATTTTACTCTAATATTCTATGAAGGAATATTCCTGCGTTGGTCAAGCCAGCCTATTTGTGCTGCAATCATAATAAAATAAACCTCAAATTTGTTTGACAAGTATCTGTGTGGCTCTCCTTATGAAACTGAAAATACTCTTATACTTGGTTACCCAGTAAAAAATTGTAGTAAAATCAATTAGTGTAGGAGTTGCAATAAAAGATATTTAATAAATAAAATAAATAAAAAGAAATTAAGAGATTCTATCACCTGTAATGCTGCATCGTAAGCACCGGCCTTTAATTGAGCTGCAGCCATGTTATTATGAACCCTAAGACGTTCTTCCAACAGGTCTTGCAGTGCATCTGAGGTAGGGGCAAAATCACCAGTGGGTGTGGGATCTGATATTCCTCCCTCACTTTCATCTAATACATCAAGTGCGCGACGGTATAGCTGAATAGCTAGTTGTGACTCACCACGGCCATACCACCAATTACCTCGTTTACGACGACGGGTACTAAAAACAGTTGATAAGTTTCAATATTTTAAATCATAACAATGTGCAAGCAATGAAACCCTAAGTTTATTAAAGAATCAAACTGTTATCAATACATTCAAATTCCCGTGTAGTGACAGTGTAAGAATATCCGCTACCCCATATCATCCCGTGGGTGTCGTAAGAGGTGATATAGGGAAACAAATCAGGAGATGGGTAGCAGCGTCTTCCTAATAACAACTAAAAATAAAAAACTGCAATTGCCAACTTGTTTGCCAAGAGTGGCAACTATGTAATTTTAGTAAGCTATAATGGTAATGGTAACATTCAAATTGAAATTCTATAAGTGCAACAATCTTAATTGTAAATAAATAATTATGAACTTAAGCTTAGTTCAATTACATACCCAATTTCCATCCTCTCAGCTATAGACAAGGTCTCGTGTTCAGGTTCTTCTGACCAGTCGTGGAGCTCAAGTTTGACTTCCAGCCACGTATCTGGTCCAATAACCGGGCCATCATATTTAAGTCCATCGACTTCACCTACTAAACCCAGGCTATCACCAGGTTTTAAACCATTATCTCCATAACCGAAACGTGGAGCCATATGGAGAAGACAGGCCTCTCCTTTATACATAAGAGTCAATGCTAAATCTAAACCTTGAAGGACCTGAAATTAATTTAATTTATCATTGAGAACATACTAGTATTATACATATTCATTCATTCCGTCACTAACAAGCATGTGTCACAAACAAACAAAATTATTGACACCTTTTGACAGCTCCGTGGCGCAGAGGCTTAGCAATGTGTTGCAGCACTAAGGGTCACGGGTTCGAATCTCGCACGGAACAAGTATTGTAGGCCATACAAATAGTATGGCCTACAATATCAGTCAAGTTAATCTATACATCTATACAAATAAATAAAATTGAAGTGTCTGTTTGTAATATCAAAATAACAACTTTTTACTAAATGCATATGAAAGTATATACGATACATATAATAAAAATACAATTTTTAAAATTTTTGTCTATCTATCTGTCTGTTTGTTCCGGCAAATCTCCGAAATGACTGGACCGATTTTGATGGGACTTTCACTTGCAGATAACTGACGTTATAAGGAGTAACGTAGGCTACTTTAATTTTAGAAAAATAATAAGCGTTCCGCGCAAAAAAAAAAAAACCCCTTAATTACACGCGGGCGAAGTAGCAGGGAACAGCTAGTAAATTTTTACACTAATTTATCTAGCAAATTAGTGTTACAAAAAAATTAAAAAAATAATGAATGAAAGGAATTAAGTTCTTTGATTTATTAAAAAGAAATACAAAGACTTAAGGTGGAATTACATTATTGTATTGGGAGGTGTCCGTTCCATACATTTAGTATGATGAGAATTACATTACTTAGTGCCACGTGTTGGGACTCGTTGTGTCGTGATTGCAATCGCTAGATTTCAATCAACGACAGAATGGTGGTGGTGTTTATGATACGTCACAACACTCCACACTAGTAGATTCTATGTTTCAGAAAATCTCGCGCAGAATAGCGCGTTATGTAGCAAGAGAATGGACGTTGCTTTATTTTTACACAAGATATCGATGGAACTTATTGAACTCCAATCCAAATTGTAATCCAAAATGTAAAGAGTACAAATATCACTTAATAAAAACTGCGATGTGGGAAGAATGTACTATATACATTCTATGATTGAAAATTATATTAATATTTTCAATCATAGAATGTATTTCCTCAAATTGAACTTTTGTCATCCTGAAATATTGATGAAATCTATCTTCAATGTTCTCTAGTTCTTTAACTAGCAAATGATTGCTTCGACTCCCTCCCAGTTTATTTACTGGATGAACCAATATCTTCTCTTCTTTCTTTTCTTTTTAGGTAGACTATACATCTGCAGTCATGCAAAATTTACTTTAACTTCACTCGGCTCAGATAAGCCTGAGGAAAACATTGCTGACGGATGAATACATATACTTCAAACGACATCACTGTATTGACTGGAAATAACGTTAGAGCGCGCCCCGACACGAGAGAACAGTCTGCACACTCGCCGTCACGGCAGAGCGCATCACAAAAGATCACAACACAATGGGTCCGGGTTAATTTAATTTATTTTTGCTGTTTTTGGCTCTTCAATGTGTTAACAATAACCTTGTTTTTACATAACATATTTTATTACATAAATTAGGATTTGTGATTTTATTGTTAAGTTGTGAGACAAAAAAAAATAATTAAATGAAAATTTGCCACATTCTTAATTCTCATTTATAACAAAAATAAACATAACTGCACAATATACAAGAAATTACTAGATATAATAAAAACTATGGTTATTTACTTACTTCATTATCACCTAAGTATATTTTAACTTGATCCCTCTTTTCTAAAACATCTCCATTACCATCCTTAATTTTAATTTCATAACTAATTCTGCAAATATCACTTCTGTGTGGCCTTAAACCTTCTGATTCATCACCCTGTTTTATTATCTGTAAAAATATGATACAATGTTACTAGTGTCTGATCAAAGTTTAGACATCGACTTCGGCGACCTTCGGCATAAAAAAGTACCTTCAACCACATATTCTATTCAACCTTCAGCAAAAATCAGCCAAAGGAAAGAGACCAAAGCCAAAGTTAGCTTAAACAACCAAAAATCAAAAAAAAAAATAATGACATCTGTGTAGCATGTCTCATATTTTTGTATTTTTAAAATCATTATACTCTCAAGGCAAGATGTGACAGACCAAAAACCGGACATTGGCAGAATTATTGTGACTTAACACAATTATTGTGACCTGACACAATACCAAGGGCCATATTGAAAAAAAAAAAGACATTATCTCTTTTCATTATTTCTTCATTTTCAAATTATTATTGTGTCTGTGTTGTGAACTTATAGAAAAGCACAGCAAAGACGTCTTAACTGCCTATGCAGTATCTAGTCCACATTAAATCAGATTAAATTACGACGGGCTGTTCCGCAACTCCACTATTTTGCGTGCAAATCTCCCTGCACATGGGACTACTCTACACGTGGTAGAGCCATGCTGCAGCTATATTAATAGTACTCGTATCGTTGTAGCACGAATGGGTCGGCTCGACCGGGGAAGGACCACACTCTCACAGAATACCAGCATCAAATAGCAGCTTAACACTGATGTGTTTCGTATGGTGAGTGTAGAGAACCGGACACCCTTTTTACTGGATAAGAGGCATTCCATCTTAGTCCTCACGAGTGACAAAGCATCTGCATTTTGATTCGGAAACAAGGATAGATGTACCACTGTAACCACTTACCATCAGGTGGACTGTGTGCTCGTTTGTCACTCGATCCTATAAAAAAAACTATCTGTGATACCTATGGTAAATAAATGCTTGTTAAAAGAGCTGTCCTGTAATAGTACTAGTTGCTATCCTGATCTGCGGCTTGTTCAATCTTATTAAAACTTTGGTTAAACAACTGTTTATTCATATCTGGCAGGGCCAGAAAATTACTAAATATTATAATAGTGTTACAGTAGTATTAAGTCAGTTAATATTATATATTTATTTAATTTCATTGCTTAATATTAGGCCAACAATTAAAAACTCCTTCATCTATTTATGTAAAGAAAATTAATGGAACCTGCTACCACACTGGCAGGGAAATACTATTCTGGTAAAAGTTTTTAAACTTTTGATAAGAAAAAGGTGTTAAGACCATAATCTTACCGTTTTTTTTTTATATACTCATAATTTTACTAAACAAAATAGCTAGTAGTATAAGGTTAAATATCAAAGGAGTAAGGTGTATGGAGAAGAACAGCCCAGCCAAGTGAAAGTTTTTTTTCGCAAATAGCTCTTGTTATGTGTGGTTCGGTATTATCAAGTGAAATTATACTTTATTTTGATTTTCAAAAAATCTTGCTGCTACATAGTCCACTTTTTTGTTGACAGTAAATATTTTCATAACTTTACATAATACATTCATAACGTTGCACAACTGTCTTCCATGCACATGTCGGCTCTCTTCTAAAGTTAAAACAACTTCCAACTCATGTGGCAACCAAAATGATATTTCCCATGACTTCCTACAGTGTGAAGTTCCTTTAAGTATTGCAGGATGAGAGTACCGTTGTTTCTTTGCCCAACAATGTAAAGTCAATCTGTGCTCCATTCTTTTTTTAATTCTTTGACATTTATTTTAGGTTGTCATAATTTCTATTCTTAAATCTTGAAAAATGTTTGTTATATTCCAAAAGAGCATGTCTTTGTACTGCTTAAGGGGGCATTCAAGTGTTACATAAGCAAACTTTCTATGCTTTTAGACCTCCATGCATACTCCCCCCTCTCCCAAATGACAAGCTGTAAGAATTTTTTCTTTACTCATTCAATTCTTGGAAAACTCATTTATTTATTTTAGTAAGATATTAAAAGAAATTTGGTATATAGTATGTTAACTTAAATACGGTCACCTATGGGTCGCATTTTGTCAAAGGGGTCGCCGCGACATCAAAGGTCGCCTCGTGCTGCATACACCCGAAGGAGAATTTGAGATTTTAAAATGAAACACTGTAGTGAAACGTTCTTTGCTACCTTACACATTTTTATTATTTACATTCGTACTTTATTAAAATAACCATTTTCGAATAGAAAAACATTTATTTAACAAACACAGTAATTTTTTACTAAAATAAAAGCAAAATAATAAGTGCGACTCCGGGTGTCCCGACACTATCTTAGTGAAAGACTATACCACAATAAAATAATAAATATAGTATTATTAATATAGATCAGGGATCACAAACAAGTACAATTGCTGGTTCATTTAAAAAAAAAACTGTCGCGGTCCGTTTGCAAGGTGATGACTAGCAACAGAGATTTAAAATGTCAATTAACAACTAATACGAAAAATAATCAGATACATCTAATTAAAAAATGACAAAGCAAGTACCCAATATTAAGGCGAAAAATTGCATTGTTTAATCTGAACAATCTGTCTGAAGTTGGTGCAAGGTGCAAGTTGGTGCAAGTTATTGCCATTAAATCTTGGAGATGATCATCGGAAAGATGAGATTGAAATTTATTTTTAATGAAGTTCATCTTGGAAAACTCTGCTTCACAAATATATGTTGATCCAAACATTGTACAAAGTTTCCAAAATTTTAGTTCTGGATTATTCCACACACTAGTTTTCTCCAAAATTCTTGACAAAGAACTTCCGAATTATTGTTTTAAAACAAAAGAAAATTTAATTACCACAAATTTTTACATTGATATTGTTAGATTACTCTAGATCCCACAAAATAGATTGGCGGTACAGATGTTGTCCCCTGTATAGATAATAAATATTGTTTTAAAAATATTTTTATTGTTTTATAATTTTTTTAATCTTACGTAAGATTTTTAATATCACACCCGTAAACTTTAAACCCCCCTCCCTCAGCCTGCTTACGTAATACTTGAATGCCCCCTTAGAAACTTTTTGACTCAGAAGAATCTGTGAATTAAGATGACTAGAAGTTTGCTATGAGAAATATCCATAATTGAATTTACTATACTTTATCTAACAGCCAACTATTGCACTATTTATATGCTAGTATAGTGGTTCCTGAAACTACACTCCACTTCACTAAGTGGCACAGTGACAAAAACATGTGGGCAGAAATGAATGCTATTCAAAGTACCCTTACTCCTCAAGAATCCCAACAAATTTAAACATCATGGCTAAGAGCAAATAAGGTGATTATGCTGCTTTCTTTTGGAAGTCGAAGAAGAAGGTAGAAATGTTTCTTGCATTTCCCATGGTCACGTCTTAGAACACCCACAGAACAAAATGGGTTAATGACATTCTTTTACACCTCCACCACACAGTAATTGCAATAATAACATAATTTTAGCACATAAAAATAATAATACAAAATATGCTAGAAGATAAATTTTAGCACCATTAAACCTAAACTTCGGTCGGGCACTGGTTGCGACGTAATATTTCGTAGGTATTTAAAATAATAATTTTGTTTTGTTCACCTTTTTGAGCATTGCTCCTGATCCCAAAACATCTTGCCACTCATCTTTTGGCAACTCAACAGACTTTTCTTTTTCCGCAGCGGCCGCTTCTGCCAGCTTAGCTTCTTCTATTTCGTGAGCGGCAGCCGAAGCTAGATCTTCAAAAGAACTACTCTCTGACTTGTCAACCATAGCTTTCTCTCCTTCACTCATCTAAAAACACAGTCTCATGATTTGCGTAAATAAACTATACGACGTAGAACGATGGCGATTTAACTTTATTGATGTGAACCAGCAATATAATAATAAACAAATGGCAAAATACACACGCACCTTGCCTATTTAAATCGCAATTAGATATAATACTTTGTTTTAACTCCAAACTAATTTTATCGAATTATTACATTACAATTTAAAAGCAAAGCAAAATACGTGTACAAAAAAGAAAGAATGACACTTCAAGTTTGCGGAATCGGGAATGTGGAATGAATGGATTAGCGATGAACGTTGAATCAACGAACTAGTTGAATCAACCATTGATCTCCTGTCAACGTATTATTAACGTTTACCGTTTATGAATCAACTCACTATTACTCCGTTAGGAGTAATAGTGTTCTGTGAATCAACTAGTTGAATTCGTCAACGGCGTTTATGACTTTAACTCGTGTGTCTCTTTAACGCATCGAACTGAGCAAATTAGAAAACTTACGTTGAAAATAACGTCATAGATTGCGAGCGATGGTTATGTGATACAATTTGAACTCTAAGTAACCTAAAAAAAAAATGTTTTTCGAAATATTTATTTTAAGAATAGTACTTATGACGATATTGGTGGAATAGCACACCCCGCTCATACCGTCCGAGAGAAATAGGTTAATACTAGTTTGTTTATATATTATACAATGGTAGGAAGTTCGCTTTTTTTAATTTTTTATTGACATTGAATAAAACTATTTTTACCGATTTTATCGCGTTTAATTAACTTATTTTATATTCCCGATGTTTCGGTTGCTTTCCAGCAACCGTGGTACACGGGGGACTGAGGTGATTGACATCCCGATGTTAGTGTTAAACCGGAGTACCTTCAGCTTTTTTAATTAATAATTTTGGTCCGATCTACGCAGAATGAACTAACTGTGTCTTGCAGTGGTATGTTTGGGTTTAGTTTTAATTTTATGAATTACAGGATTCCAAGCAGGTGGCAGTACCCAGCCTCCCTCTCTATTGAAATTAGGATGTTTTTTTTTAATTTCAATAGCCTCACGTATCATCCTTGGCAGGACGTCAGCTATGTGTTTCGTGAAGCACCAACGTTCCGGGAAGTCTGCAGTTTGTGATCATATCCTAGACGGCCCCCGCCATTACATTAGATTTGATAAACCACAAATTCTCGCGAAAGAACATCGATTCCTGCCAAGGATGATACGTGGGGCTATTGAAATTTAAAAACATCCTAATTTCAATAGAGAGGGAGGCTGGGTACTACCACCTGTTTGGGATCCTGTAATTCAATTTTATACACATTATTTAAACATTGAATCAAATTGTTTCTAAAATTGAACCTCGTAACGTTGAATTAAAACCGTTCAATGAATTAACGGTTTACGTTGCAAGTTGACATTAGTAGTACGGTAACTCGTTGACGAATTTAACTAGTTGACAAACTTACATCAACGTTAACGTTTCGTTAATTTGGATGGTCGATTGTTAAGGACTGTGCAGTCACTTTACTGTGACTGTAAAAGGCTTATTACATTACACGATTTCTCGGGCCCTGCGCGCAGGGACAGGGTAGTGTAATAAGAAACAGGGAGTCAGGGTCCCTAAACAGGGCGACCGAGTAGTTCCGACCGCCCTGCTTCCCTGCCTCGCTGTGGATCGTGTAGTGTAATAAGAGACAGGGAGGCAGGGAGCTCAGTTGCGTGGCCGCATGCGCAGAGTCTACACGTTTGTTTATTTAAAGTTCTACTATGTCGATCTACTCTCTAAATCATTACTCGTATTTATATCATGCGCTAAAGAAAAAAATCCTTTTCAATGTCATCGACATCTACAAAGATATGCCTTATCAAATCTTGATAGGAGTTTCCAGTGGCCAAAATCGTAAAGTGACAACCAATCTCTCTTAAAAAAGTATTCTTTTGAATAAAACTTCTTTTACGGATTCTATCGCGTTTAATATTTTTTTATTAATTCCCGACGTTTCTTTTACGGATTCTATCGCGTTTAATTTTTTTTTATTAATTCCCGACGTTTCGGGTGCTTTACCACCCATGGTCACGGGGGACTGGATGCTGTAAAGCATCGGAAACGTCGGGAATGAATAAAAAAAAGGGGCCCGAGAAATCGTGTAATGTAATAAGCCTTTAAGCCTGTGTGCGGGTAGGGCAAGACCTGTCACCCGTGTTTAGCGTCCAAATGGGCGTAAAACAGGGTTGTGTCATGTCGTCCTGGCTGTTCATACTGTATCTCGACAGCTGTTTACAGAAGCTGAAAGATAGCTGTTTGGGTGTGAAATTGGGTGACATAGACGTGCATGTATGAAGAAGATAATGAATCTGAAAGAAGCGAAAGAGGTATGTAAGGATCGTGACACTTGGCGATCTGTTCTCTCTGGCTACCCCGCCAGGGATTGTGCGTGAAGATAAGTAAGTAAATAAGTCATGCCTGACAAAATCAAAAGCTTTGGAAATGTCCATATATAGGGCTGTCACTGGTACTTTTCTGTCAATGTTTTGTAAATACATGGTATAAAAATTCATAAATTGCTACATTAATGGATTTGTTTCTACGAAAGCCTTTTTGTTCTTTTGCAAAAATATTGAACTTTTCAAAGTAATTATATAGATTCTTATAAATTAATTTTTCTATTATTTTTGAAAATATAAAAGTCATAGCAATCGGACGGTAACAGGATAAGTCCTCCCTGTCATCTTTTTTGAATAAAGGTTTAATAATGGACGTTTTAAGAACTTTAGGAAATACACCATCTTCGACACATAGGTTTATAATATGACTCATCACGGGGGCAACCACAGAACACTAATACCCTTAACTGTGTTTCCTACGTGTTTTATTACTTTCGTCGAAATGTCATCAAAACCAGTGCTATTTGTGTTTTTTAATTCGTGATTTTATGGTTAGTAGAATGGCATAAGGTGTTACAAAATTAAAGAAAAATGAATTGTATTTATTATGTGTCAAATTATTAGAATATGTCATATTATTTTTGTCATCTTGCATATACTTGATCAATGAAATGATTATTGAATGCTTGCGCAATGTCTTTTGGATTCGTTATAAATTTATTATTTATTTTAATACGTGTTATAAAATTTCTACTAAACTCTTTATTATATATATATATATATATATATATATATATATATATATATATATATATATGTGTATATATTATCAGTCTTATTTATAAAAATCCCTTAAAATGGCGTTACACACGTTACACATACGTATTTTTTCCGTTCGGAATAACAAGGATCAGTTGAGAGACGTTAGCCATTAAATTAAATTAAAATTAAATTAACTTAAAAATCCATTTATTTCTTTCTCAAGGCATACTAAATAATAAGGTAATTGGAGCCTCCTAGTAAGTATAAAAGAATACCTGTGTCAGGAGGCACCGCTCCTCCTAATAATATTAAATATTGAGATAGCCGTGCAAGATGACTTTTGATTTAGAGTAGGTGTGTGTTTGTATGCGTTTGTGTGTGTGTGAGTGTGTGTGTGTGTGTGTGTGTGTGAGTGTGTGTATGAGCGTGTATGTGCGTGCGTGCGTGCGTGCGTGCGTGTGTGTGTGTGTGTGTGTGTGTGTGTGTGTGTGCGTGTGTGTGCGCGCGCGCGCGCGTGTGTGTGTGTGTGTGTGTGTGTGTGTGTGTGTGTGTATGTGTGATTGTAGGTGCTTAAAAGCGTTAGCATATCTATTGTTATTATTTTTATATAATTTTATTTAATTCTATTATATTCAATAAACAAATATATTATTTAATTCCGTGGCGTAGAATGTTTTCTGTGGTGTGATAAGATAATTTTTTTAAGATGATCGGTAAGTATTTTTTTACATTCGCGATAATTAATACGGTGAAAGTTTAATATTTTATTTAAATAATTGTACATATATCTTGATTGGGCACAGTACTGTCTCTCAGCAAATTTAGATTTTACATAAAGAACAGTGACAGACTTTCATACATAAAATTAGTTGAGAAGGAATAGTAGCGTCTATATATCAAAAATATCTTAAAATGTTAAGCGTCAGTCCCTTAATAACTTTGTCAAAGAATTTTGTCCTGAGAAGGCGTCAAAAAAAAGATATTTAGATTTGAACCTTTTTAGGTTATGTCTTATGTCACTTGGAAAAAGTCATGCTTCCTGTGTTTGTTTGATGTTAGCTTAGTACATAATACATAATTGAGAGTTTTTAGATTATTGTATCTCTATTATATATTTGCTTACTATAAGTGTATATTTCTGGCATGGCTCCAGGGCCTTTGTGTCATAGTGACATTCTTAGAAGGGCTAGAACCCAGAGCCGTACAGCCAGTAAAAAAAACAGTGACATTTTGTTTTAGCTAGTGTTGCCTTAACATTAAACGGAATTGTTACATAGTACTATGATTAAGATAATGTATTATTGTAGGAAGTTCTTTGTATGAGACTTATTCTCAACCATATCACTTTTATTTTTATTATTACTGATAGTATATCACTAATATTACACAGTTGTTTGGTATTAAATCCACTAGGATTAAAATCATGAAGCAAATACAAAGAGGAGACGGCATAAGCAACTGTGCACTGTGATTCTAAGTAGGTCCTGACGTCATCATAGTGGGCGTGGCTTTAGTTAGTATACTGTTAGCATTCGTCCTGTGCGCTTATATATTGAAAATCGCAAATCGGTGTATTTTCGTAGTATTAGGAAGAAAAGGATGACGTGTTGTGTTTTATCGTGTAAAAACTACGCAGATAGACGCTCTGATGCTATGGATGGCATCACATTTCATTTGTAAGTAATTTTACTCCTAATTTATTAAAATAGTTCTAGAAAAATCTCTGCGTCGGCTTTCAAATATAATTAAATATATTCGACACTAGATAGCGACACTTTGTGTCATGGGAACTAAAAATATAAAGGTACGTAGAGCTCAGTATTGGTAAAATAATCATACGAAGGTGCTGAAATTTGTTTTGCA